CCACCTTTGCTGCCCCTTCTCCCCAGGCAGCCACCCACATCCGACGGCCATCTGACTGTCACAGCACCCGGAGCAGCCCTCCTTCTCAGTCCCACCCTAACATGTAGGGGCCAGGCTCTATTCAGAGTTACAGATTCAGACTAACTTTCTCTGAAGTCACTGAGGATTTAAATTAGTCCAAATGAGAGCATGATGCTTAAATACTAATTTGTATGTGCATCTATGGCATCAATCCTGTATTTGTGTGCATGGACCTCAAAGCCCTACTTTCTGAAAATGTGGACCACAAACTTTGTACTGCCTGAATGTTGAGGACACTCATTACAGATAGGCCTCAGTAACAAAATGTGTATATGGAATTGAACCCATAGAGCACTCCCCCAAACTTCAGGGGGAAGAGAGTTTGGATTCAGTGTTCTGCTTCAGGCCTATTCCTAATAGAATTACTTACAATAGTATCTTACCTTTCCATAGCACCTGTCAACCCAAAGTATCCCAAAGCTCTTTACAAGCTACATACATGCAGCCCTGCTGAAATGCAGTCACATCTGGGGTAGAAAGATGACAACAATATAGATAGCAGGTGTGCAAAACAACAGTTCTGGAGGAGAATGGGGATTCTGGCCAACTAGTACCCAATGCTGCAGTCCAGCTGCTTAACATCAATGAACACGTGTCCCTAGTGCTCTGGTCTTTACACTGAACAGAGTGCAGTTCATGGTCTCTGTCCTGATGCTCAAAACCTTGTCTGGAATTGGCCCAAGCTACTTAAAAAAGCGTGTCTCCCTCAGCGACCAGTACCTCCATTGACATGTACGTTCTGCTGGAATGATGAAACTCAAACAATAGGAGGAGGCTTATGAGTGAAGGAGATAGAACTTTCAAAGAAGCTGGACCAAGACTATGGTATTAACTCTTGCAAGAGATAAGAATGAGCGGACATCATGCCCCTTTCAGAATTAAATGCAAATCTTATTTCAATTTAGCTTTCCCCTAATAAATTCTTCCCACACATATAGATACACAAAACAGCCACTCACTCACATGCACAAACATAAACAAGCAAACAAATAAAATTCCTGGGAACTGATGAAGCTATTTATCCTATAGGCTGGGAAGGAAGGAAGGGAGAAAGCTTATTACTTTTTTAAAATACTTGGTAGGCTCTCATTTACTATAGTGATAGGGACAGGAATTTCACTCTGGGGAGTTTAGAGCACTGCAAGAGTTTGATTTGATGGGTGGAGAGGCATTACCCATTCCATCAAATGCATAAGACTTTCATAGTTTATATTAGAGAGAGAAAGTGGGTAGGTAACATCTTTTATTGGACCAACATCTGTTGGTGAGAGAGAGAAGCTTTCAAGCCACACACAGTTCTTCAGATCTGGGAAAGAGTAGAGTGATCCCTCAGAATATATGCTAACTACTCAGCTAAACAATCTGTTCCACCTTTGTCAAGGTTCCTTCCCCACTCTGAACTCTAGGGTACAGATGTGGGGACCTGCATGAAAACCTCCTAAGCTTACTTTTACCAGCTTAGGTTAAAACTTCCCCAAGGTACAAACTATTTTACCCTTTGCCCTTGGACTTCCACTGCCACCACCAAACATTTATCTGGGTTTATTGGGAAAATGTTGTTTGGAAACGTCTCCCCCCCCCCCCAAATCCTCCCAACCCTTGCACCCCATTTCCTGGGGAAGGTTTGGTAAAAATCCTCACCAATTTGCATAGGTGACCACAAACCCAAACCCTTGGATCTTAGAACAATGAAAAAAACATTCAGTTCTTGAAAAGAACCATTTTAATAGAAGAAACAGTAAAAAGAATCACCTCTTGTAAAATCAGGATGGTAAATACCTTACAGGGTAATTAGATTCAAAACATAGAGAATCCCTCTAGGCAAAACCTTAAGTTACAAAAAGACACACAGACAGGAATATCCATTCCATACAGCACAGCTATTTTCTCAGCCATTTAAAGAAATCATAATCTAACACATATCTAGCTAGATTACTTATTAAATTCTAAGACTCCATTCCTGTTCTGTCCCCGGCAAAAGCATCACACAGACAGACAGAGACCCTTTGTTTTTCTCCCTCCTCCCAGCTTTTGAAAGTATCTTGTCTCCTCATTGGTCATTTTGGTCAGGTGCCAGTGAGGTTATCCTAGCTTCTTAACCCTTTTCAGGTGAAAGGATTTTTCTTCTGGCCAGGAGGGAGTTTAAAGGTGATTACCCTTCCCTTTATATTTATGACAACCTTGCATTTAGCTGTGATGCTCAGAGTACTTTTCCCAGACCTGAAGAAGAGCTCCATGTGGCTCAAAAGCTGTCTCTCACTGACAGCAGTTGGTGCAATAAAAGATATTACCTCACCCACCTTGTCTTTCTAAAATACTGGGACCAACACGGCTACAACAACACTGCATACAACATTTATATTGTCAGAATGATAAGGATATAGTCTATAGCTTCAAGTCCCACTCAGTGGAACTTTTAAAACTAGTTTCGAAAAATGTAACTAAATGTGAAATAAAGAATAATCCTCTGTAGGCAATGAAATGATATATTAGATGAATTAATAGGCCATCTCCCACCCTACATTTTGATTCTTTCATCCTGAAGGATTTCAAAGCACTTTACAATATAGTGCCAATGCAATGCACCTCTGGTGTGGAGGACAGAAAACAACTGGTGCATAGAACAAATGACAATGTTGAGACAGTGGCGAGGAAAAACCATGGCTCTCACATAAGTGGATTTTTAATGTCCACACAGAGTAAACAGGAGCTCAGTTTTTAAGATCTTACCAAAAAACAGATTTTTTTTAAATGGACACAGAGTAAACTGCAGAGAACTAGTGGGTGGCTAGTTAACGTGCTTTATGTCAATATTATTCTTTAGTATGGAAGTTTATTCCATTTCTGCACTGCAACCCCAGAAATACTGAGTGTCCTTCTCCATAAACTTGTGTCTAACTATTCCCCATGCTGTCTCTCACTTTTCCAATCCTCCTTATTTTTCACCTCTTCCAGATAGGACAGCATTTGAAAGTTATAAATGAGGACACAATGGAATTAAAATAAGACCACGTAACTCCAATGAAATATACAGACATAGGAAAGCTTTTTGAAGGGACCAAGTAAAAAGCTAAAATTTTTGCTCAAAAATAGAGGGTGTCCCTCCTAAATAAGATCAGTGTGCACGAGTCTGCTCTCCTCACCCCCCTTACTCACTCTGCTAGTGACTCCACGGAGGAGCACAGTGGATTGCCAAGTAGTGGGTTTGCCACACCTACCTGTACTGCTCCCATGGCTAGTTGCACCCTGGGCTGCCCCAACAGGAAAGGGGCCGGCAGATGAACATCATTGAAAGAGATTGCAACTGCTTCCTCACCTCTCCAGCACCAGGACAGCAACAGAAGCATTTCTGCAGTGGAATGGTGTTAGCCGACGGCCAAGGATGTTTGGTGAGGTGCCAGCTATGCCCGTTTATACCATCCGTGACTTTAACCGCTAGGACGCACTGTCCCTTCGCGGCGGGCAGCCCGGGCTAGGCTGACGGATGCCCCAAGGTCCTAACCACCCGTGACTTTAACTGCTAGAGCTCAGAGCTCCTTCGCAGCGGGCAGTCAATACTGACTGACAGGTGCCCCAATGGCAGCACTAAGAGCCTCTCCACACCCGTGACTTTAACTGCTAGAGCTCAGAGCTCCTTCGCAGCAGGCAGTCAATACTGACTGACAGGTGCCCCAATGGCAGCACTAAGAGCCTCTCCACACCCGTGACTTTAACTGCTAGAGCTCAGAGCTCCTTCGCAGCGGGCAGCCAGGATTGACTGACAGGTGCCCCAAGAGTTTGCCCCGTGGAGGCGGCACAACTCAACGCTAGGCTCTTAGTACTCTCACCTAATGGCCAGGCTTTAGAGCCAAAACGGCTGAGGTTCTTTAATTGTGTTGGCTGCTTTACAGTAAACCAGAGAAAACAAGTCAGGCTTATGCATAAATGGTTGCCAAAATTTATTAAGCTAGATTCTAATCATGTGGTTACAAAATTGCTAGTGCCTACTTATTTAAATGTAGAGATGTTACACACACAAACAAGTTACAAAACTGAAGCCACAATCCCAAAGAAAGAAAACAAAGTATAGAGCTCTATTTCAAAATATGTGTACACTAAAGATAGGAGATCAGGTGTGGGTGCTTCTTACCCTCCTTGCATCTCTCGATTCCAGCGGTGCCAAGCCAGGATCGGTCACTCAATTCCGCGGAAAGACGAATAAGGGACAAGGCATAGGGACCCTCTTAGCTGCAGAAGCCTTGGGAGGCTGTCACTTATCTGACCAGCAGATAGATAGTGAAAACCACTCAAAAATCATGGTGCTGTAGGTCCCCTACTTATACCTCTGTACTCCTTTATTCTCTTTCTCCTTTCTTATGCCAAATTGAGGCTGGTCTGTCTGGGTGACGCCAGCTTTCGCAAGAGTAGTTTACACTTGCAAGGGAGAGAAACAATAAGTGTTGACTACTGGACATTTCTTTTATCAGGGTAAATATTTTCCCACCTAGGATGTTGGGGTGTGTGCATCACGCTATTTAGTAGGGGCTAAGAGCCATGTCTGTCACAGGGCCTCTGCCTAATGTGAGCTTAATTGTTGTATCTGTTCCCAGAGGCACATTGTAGCAGCACACCTGTGCTTTCACAGCTTCAAAGGCTGTGCTGGAATATATGTTAAGTACCCTGTTCCGGCTTCCTCCTGTGTTTCCAGCAATGCTGGTCTGAGGGGGTGGGGGGCTGTCTGTCTGGCTACATTCCACCCCCTGATACACCACACTACATCCCAGATTGCAAGGTGGCAGTGATGCCAGCACCTCTTGCCCTCCTTGGGGAAATCTAGAAATACCCAACAACCAAATTAGAGGATGAGGGTTCGCGGAATTGGTTAGGATCCCTTTTTAGCTCTAGGTATCTGATTTGCATGGAGGAAAGAGCAGTTTGAATCAAACGCTTCATAATACATAAAGTTACACAAAAAACAATTACAATAATTAAAATGGTTAAAACAGTATTTGCAACCGAATGTAAAAACGGGGAGAGGGAGAATCCCAAGTGTTGAGCTAACCATTGCATCCATGAGGTTTGTCCATTCTCAGCCACTGCATGTAAAATTTTAACTGCACCTTTAATAGCAACCACATCTTGCTCTATTTGCCCTGAATGATTTACATAAAAACAACAAGATTGGTTGATGACAGCACACACTCCTCCTTGCTGGGCTAGGGTAGCGTCTAGTGCTATTCTGTTCTGCAGAGCATATCGGGCCACAGACTGAAGTTGTTCATTTAAAAGCCCTAATGCATCAGCAGTATGATTCAGAGCAATTTCCAATTGTCCAGAAACGTTTGCTATTGCCATCTCGAGCTCAGTTATACCTAACCAAGGTATAAGTGCACGTGTAAATCGGTGAAAACCAGAGGGCCGTTCAATCAGGGGGTTGTAGGTGAACTTTCGATTGGATCGGTGTATAAAACTTCCCAGATTTGTTATTCTGGGGGCATCAACATGAGGGTGTACTGTTAGTCCCTCGGGTACTGCATATCCCAGTGAACACCTTCCAGTCCAACCTACAGGTAGATATTTATATGCCTTGTCCCCACAAATAAAGAACAAGCCAGGTTCTTTACTAAGAATAGGTGAATAAGGTCCTCTGTGCCACCTGCCCCCCTCAGGTTTAGGTATGGGTTGGTGATATGGAACACAATATCCCATCTTAATGTTAGTACAGAGCAAAACTATTAACAAATCTTCTAAAATTTGATCTGAGCGAAAAAGTCCATTTTCATTACACTGATCTAATAAGGAGTTAATAGATTTGATTAGCAATGGGTTATAAATGTGTCCGGAACTGGGAATAAAGAACAGTGATTGGTCATACCAATCTCTGCTTTCAGGGTATCTACTCATATTCAGGGGAACAATTGTGGCATTATATATGCTAAAAAGGGGTCTATGTTCAAGTGTGCCATTGATGGGACCTTTCCAACATTTTAAAGTCCTTTTGTCGTTCATGGGTGGGTAGGTAGTCCAACCCCCACTTTTCTGATCAAATACAATTGTATGGGCACATTGCTGCTTATCTAGACTACCCATTTGTATGTCACCCTGAGTTTCAAAACAAATAGGGTATACTTCTTTAGATGATCCTGTTACATATTCCACAGGCCGTCCCCAAACAGTGCGATGCCATTGTCCCACCTCCCCCGAGTCATTGCGAGGGTTGTTGGTGTACCATGCTGGTCCCCACTGAAAGATGTTGCTTTTGTTCCACCAATCATTTAGGCTGAGTGGTACAAATTCAATTCCCAGTCCATTGGTTGAATCTAGCAAGGTGCACATCCAGCAATTTGTAGCACCAGCAGCTGAGGCGATGGTTTGGATTGCTCCCCGAAGAGGATGTTCTGGTATTGCCAAGGTGACTGGAGCCAACAGAAGGATCATGAGGGCTTGCAGGAACATATCTCAGGTGGGTCGTGTTCTAGCTAAAAAAACTTATTTTAACACTAAAAGCAAAAATTACACCTGCTATTATAAGTAATGGCAAATATATCAACAGTCCATAGTAGTCTCTAGTGATCAAACAGGTCTGCTGCATGGTCCATTTTGCTGACAGGTTAGCTGGCAGGTTGCTCGGAACCATGGCACCATTCCTGCAATATATCACATGGTCAGCTGGTCTTGGATGCGATCCAAGCCTCTGTAATGGTTATTAGCCTTTTATCAGCATTTAAGGCACTCCATACACCTTTCTCTTTATAGGCATGCAAAACACAGGTAAAGGTTCCCAGGGCTGGGTGTTTAATCACAACAGTGTCTCCGGGAGCATACTTGGAACTGTGCAGTGGTGTTCTGGCAGGGGAGATAGCTTTCCCTGTAGGGAAGAATCCCCTGCTGATTGGACTTCCTGTAGGAGTCTGTCTGTTGTTTAATCTCTGCACCACTTCATCCAGTCTGTCTCCCCATGTGCCATCAGTAGGCTTCAAGTGATTCTTTAGCAACCCATTCCAGCGCTCGACCATGCCATTAGATTGAGGTCGATATGGAAGGTGGAAGGTCCATTGGACTCCATGGTTAAGGGTCCATTCCCTTACAAGTTTATTCTTAAAATGCGAACCATTATCTGATTGGATTTCTTGAGGCATTGGGACAATTGCTGTTAAGCGGTTTAGTCCCATAACTGTGGACAACCCTGTTGCCAATCGGGTTGGATATGCAAAACCAATCCCTGAAACAATTTCTACCCCAGTCAAGGTGTATTTCCACCTCTGCCTTGTAGTGGGCAGTGGTCCGACATAGTCGACCTGCCAGGTTGCCCATAGTGTTTTTCCATCTCTTAGCTTGGCAAACCTTTGTCCTTCTGCTATATGTTTTCTAGTCTCAGCACAAATAGTGCAGGCTTGCACCAGGTCTCTAGCCTGTCTGTGGGTGATAGGCCACCCCCTGATATGTGCTTGCCGCACTAACTCATCACTTCCTGTGTGTCCTAAATTATCATGTAACCATGAATATAAGCGTTCCCATTCTACTTGTGTGGTAAAGAGCTGGGCAGCTGCATCGGCTAAATTGTTTAACTGTGCAGCTGGGGTATTATTCCTCTGATGAGCTGAGACATGTCCTATAGACAGGGGTTGTTGCAGGGCATGCTGATATAACCACTTCCAGTATTCCAGTCCCCATACTGGTTTACCTCCTATTTCCCAGTGGTTATTTTTCCAGTTAGTGATCCACTGAGTGGCACCTGCCCATACCGCATAGGAGTCCGTATATACTGTGGTGGCTCCTGCTTCACAGGCCAGTTTAATTGCAGCTAATTCTGCAAGTTGTGCTGACCCATCAATTTCAGCAGTTAGGGGTGCTGCAGAGGTGTCTGCAGGCACTGCTGCAGCTTTTCCCTTCCATTTTCCTTTTACCAGCCTGGCACTGCCATTAGTGAACCATACTCCCTCAGGCTTAGAAGGATCAAATGGGGCAGCATCCTTAATGGGAGACTGCTGTGGAGGTAGGCGGTATTCATCAGGCATTCCTACTTTCCATAGGGATTCCTGAATCATAGTGGGGTTTTGTGCAGTGTCTGCACTACCTACCCTGTGGTGTATGTAAAGTGCCCATCTTTGGATAGTCATCTTTTGTGCTACACCAGGTGGTAACTCTTTCCCTTCCAATATAGGTTTAATGATTGGAAGAGGAGTGTGAATTGTGATGTCCTTATCCTGAGTTAATTCCTCAGTTTCTCTCAAGGCTGTGTAAGCTGCCAGAAGCACCTTCTCATAAGGCGTGTAGTTAGCCTGTGACCCTTGCCATGACTTGGAACCAAACTGAATTGGTCGTCTGGGAGCAGTGTCACTTTCTTGCCAGAGAGCATAAGACATTCCAGTGTCTCCCACAGTTAGGTACAAATGGAATGGGGCTTCAGGATGTATGGGACCCAGAGCCTGATAGGTGTGTATCTCCCCTATCAGTTGCCTGAGGGCTTCCTCATGGGCAGGAGCCCATTCCCAGGCAGCACTTTTCTTTAACAAATTGTACAATGGTCTGGCTATAATGGCAAAGCCAGGTACATGTTTTCTCCAAAACCCCAGAGTTCCCAAAATCTGTCTCAATTGATCTTTACTTTCAGGGGAGGGTGCCTGATTTAGCTCTTGCACAGTGTCATTAGGCACAGACCTCCTACCTCCCATCCATACAGTACCTAAGAATTTTATCTCTTGGGAGGGACCTTGGCATTTCTCAGCTGGTAACTCTAAATTAAGGGCTTCTAGTGCTCCTTTGATTTGATTCATAGCCTCCTGTACCTCTTCTGAGGTTTTCCCACCTATTAAGATGTCATCAATGTATTGCACAGTTTGTACATTGGGTGGCAGTATAAGGTCATCTAGGACCTTTGCCAGTGCCCCATGGCAAATAGTGGGTGAGTGTTTAAACCCTTGTGGCATTCGGGTAAAAGTGTATTGTACACCTTTCCAAGTAAAAGCAAATCTTTCCTGGTCAGCTGGTTGCAAAGGGACCATGAAGAACATGTCCTTTACATCTAATACTGCTAGCCAGGGTTTATCCCAGGTTTGTATGGTGTTTACAATATCTGTTATGCTAGGGACTGCTGCAGTTAATGGTCCAGTGTTACTGTTTAGCTTCCTATAGTCTATAGTGAGTCTCCATTTGCCATTTGGTTTCTTGATGGGCCACACAGGAGAATTAAAGCGAGAGTGGGTACGAATTAAAATTCCTCGCTGTTCCAAATCTTTGATCAGGTCAGTAACAGGGCTTATGGCCTCAGCTGGGACATTATACTGCTTTATGTTTGTTACTGTTGAGGGTGGGAGAGCAGGCGCGCTGCTAAGTAAGTTTACAGAATAGTGGGGAGGGCTTTCCTCTTCCAGGTGGGTGGCATGAGGAACAGAACTGACTCCAAAAGCCCATCTTTCCCCATTAATCCTTCCCTTCTTTCCTCTTAAAACGTCCATGCCCAGTATGTTGGCATTGCCCAAAATCACCTCATATTTTCGGGGTTGATGGTGGGGTTGCAATGGGATATCCAGTTTTATCTTAACTAATGGGTAAGTTATGGTACTGCCATTTACCCCTGTAACAAGTACCTGCTTTCCGCCAGTAGGTGGCGAGCCCTGAAAACTTTCTCCCTTAATCATGGACCTTTGAGCCCCTGTGCCCATTAAGAAAGGAATAATGTGTTTGTCATTTACAGTTACATGTATCCGGGGGTCTTTTGCTGTTGTTTTCTCCTCTTTGGATTTAAGCTGGTTTATTAGGAGAGGAGATTGACCCCTGCAAGCTAGTTTCCCTGCTCTGGTAACTCTTGCAGTTGCTGCAGCAATGGAGTATACCGGGTGTCTGCAGGTAGGGAAAGAGGAGAGAGCTGCAGAGGTGCACTGGGAGTAGCATTAGTTGTCTCCCAGTCAGCTCTTTTATTATTTTATTTTATTATTCTGGTGAATAATTTTAGCCGCTCTGTGGGCAGTCCATTTATCACATTTCTGGGATAACCTAAAGCCAGACATTGTCTCCACAACTTGGCTCTAAGCTCCTTTTCCTCCTGGGTTGGCTCTCGCTTGTTTTTATGTCCTTTAGATGGTGCCCCCTTGTTTCCCTGAAGGGAACGCATCTTAGCTTTGCCTGTCAGTGCTCTGATGTCTCCGAATTCTCTAAAGTATGACACCAGAAGGTTTAGCAGTGCCCGAAAGGTACCGTTATGTGCTGCAGCTTCTGATCTAAGGGACAGTGCCATAGCCCTGTGGTTACTCGGAACTCCCTTAAGCAGGGGTCTGAGATCATCTACATCTACCTGACCCTCCCATGGGCTTTCATAGGCTAACTCTTGAGGGTTTTGGCCAAGCATGCTAATGACAGCCACAGTTAATAGAGCTGTTTTTACTTCATCTATGTTGGTCCAGTGCATTACTGTGGGTTCACCTCGGTCTGCTGGGTAAATACCTCTTGCCCATCGACAAGCCAGAGACCAAAGTGTTTTAGGGGTGTTCCCCTCTGAATGTTCCAGGAATATTCCTGCACCTAAGTTAAGGCGCTCAGTTTCTTGGGCTGTCAGGCGTATATATCCACCCCCAGTGTCCCAGAGGCGGACCAGCCACTCTATTATACCTTCCTCAGGCTTTTTAGCAAAATCTCCCTGGATTGTTTTTAACTCCATGGGAGTATATTGGCGGGTGGAAATTTTGGTAAAGTGTGTTGGAGCTTTACTCCCTTTTCCCTTTTTACCTCCCTTTGTTTTTGAAGAGGTGGATGGATAATTGTCATCCCCCTCTTCATCCAGCTCTGCCCCACTCAAATTTTCCTCATGTTCTTCTGATTTGTGATGTGTGATAGCTGGTCTTAATTTTACAGAGGGACCTTCCTCCTCAGAGGAGGGGGACTCATCTGCTGAATCCCAAATGTCTCCATCCCATTCCTCAGGGTCTAGCCAGAGAGCAGTCTCAACTTTAGCCCGGTTGATACTGCGTGTTTTAGTCTCCAGCTTTTCCCTTCGTTCTATCCCTTCTTTCTCAATTAAGGGAAGTAATCTTTTCTGAAGATGTTCTATATCCCTATTCAGTGTTCTTACTCTGGTATCTAAATTCTGGCATTCCTTGCGCAGTGTGTCCCTTTCCTGTTGTAGCCTATTAAATTCTATTGCCAGACTATGATAATCCTTACAGGCAGCTTGCCAAATGTTAGTAAGCAGCCATATACAAGCACCTTTTCCTTTCCCTTTCTTCATCTTGCAGGCAGTTCTCCAGTTACAGAAATGCTGCCAGATCTCTGCTGGTTTTCCCCAATATTTCTCCAGCAGTTCTTTGCTCCACAGAGGATTTCCCCATCCCTCTTGGGTCAAACTTTTCTCTAGCTCAGGGAATTCTGTGGTGTTTATCATGACTGGTTTCATTGTGTTACTGTAGTGCAGCCTATATCACAATCCTGTTCGTGACGCCAATTTCTGTTAGCCGACGGCCAAGGATGTTTGGTGAGGTGCCAGCTATGCCCGTTTATACCATCCGTAACTTTAACCGCTAGGACGCACTGTCCCTTTGCGGCGGGCAGCCCGGGCTAGGCTGACGGATGCCCCAAGGTCCTAACCACCCGTGACTTTAACTGCTAGAGCTCAGAGCTCCTTCGCAGCAGGCAGTCAATACTGACTGACAGGTGCCCCAATGGCAGCACTAAGAGCCTCTCCACACCCGTGACTTTAACTGCTAGAGCTCAGAGCTCCTTCGCAGCGGGCAGCCAGGATTGACTGACAGGTGCCCCAAGAGTTTGCCCCGTGGAGGCGGCACAACTCAACGCTAGGCTCTTAGTACTCTCACCTAATGGCCAGGCTTTAGAGCCAAAACGGCTGAGGTTCTTTAATTGTGTTGGCTGCTTTACAGTAAACCAGAGAAAACAAGTCAGGCTTATGCATAAATGGTTACCAAAATTTATTAAGCTAGATTCTAATCATGTGGTTACAAAATTGCTAGTTCCTACTTATTTAAATGTAGAGATGTTACACACACAAACAAGTTACAAAACTGAAGCCACAATCCCAAAGAAAGAAAACAAAGTATAGAGCTCTATTTCAAAATATGTGTACACTAAAGATAGGAGATCAGGTGTGGGTGCTTCTTACCCTCCTTGCATCTCTCGATTCCAGCGGTGCCAAGCCAGGATCGGTCACTCAATTCCGCGGAAAGACGAATAAGGGACAAGGCATAGGGACCCTCTTAGCTGCAGAAGCCTTGGGAGGCTGTCACTTATCTGACCAGCAGATAGATAGTGAAAAGCACTCAAAAATCATGGTGCTGTAGGTCCCCTACTTATACCTCTGTACTCCTTTATTCTCTTTCTCCTTTCTTATGCCAAATTGAGGCTGGTCTGTCTGGGTGACGCCAGCTTTCGCAAGAGTAGTTTACACTTGCAAGGGAGAGAAACAATAAGTGTTGACTACTGGACATTTCTTTTATCAGGGTAAATATTTTCCCACCTAGGATGTTGGGGTGTGTGCATCACGCTATTTAGTAGGGGCTAAGAGCCATGTCTGTCACAGGGCCTCTGCCTGCTGTGAGCTTAATCGTTGTATCTGTTCCCAGAGGCACATTGTAGCAGCACACCTGTGCTTTCACAGCTTCAAAGGCTGTGCTGGAATATATGTTAAGTGCCCTGTTCCGGCTTCCTCCTGTGTTTCCAGCAATGCTGGTCTGAGGGGGGGGGGGCTGGCTCTCTGGCTATAAATGGGTGTTTGGAAGCTTTCTTCCAGGCTCTGCTCTTATCACTGGCACCATACGTCACGTAATACTTTCTCTCTCCCCTGCCAGTTATAGGAAGGGGGGAAGTAGTCTTCCTGGGCCCATAGCAGCCACCACCACTCCAGGATCATAGAAGCAGGAGTTACACCAGTGATCAGAGTTGTATTTTCCTTACATGTGCCCATATAGGTATTGAGGGGGAAGAGATGCACCCCAGGTAAAGTTAACACCTTCAGGAAGTACAAGGCTTGTGAAGTGTTATAAATATCCCTATCTTCATTAGTGCTCTTGGTTAGTGCTCTGGCTGTATGTGACAGACCTATTTAGCCACATAATGCAAATTAGTTTCTTGCTTATTTTGTTAGGCTTATGGCCACTATTAGAAGAGGGAATGAAAACAATTTGTATTTTTACCCTCAATCCTCACTCATTCACATAAAGAGTACAACAAACAGGGATGTCTCACAGAGTTTCTTTAGCTAATAATTGGTGTTTTCATAGCTTTGTAACTGCACATAACCAAAACACACACACCACTAACATGGACCTGTCAACATGTCTCTTTTATTCACAGTGATAAATATGGTGGCTTTAAATGCAAGAAAGATGCTTGATTCTTTCAGAAAATGCGAATTCCATACCATGTTGTCTTCTGTGACAGCGTGCTGGAGGTCAGTAGTATTTCTTGATTCACTGGGCACAAGCCAATGAATAATTCCCTACGTTTTATTTAATAGACACTTCCTGCAGCAGGAGCTGATGTCACAAGGTCAGCACATCTGTAGTGGGTGGGTAGAGGGAAACACATTGAAAAACACCTCTTCCTATTTAATTCCTATGCACAGATAATGCCATGCTTCTTCTGTGAAGTAAGAATTGTTGCCACAGTAATGTTTTCAACATTCATTTTAACATTCAAATAACAGAGCAGATTTTTTTTTATTATTATTATTGTTTGGAAATCTGCAATCATGTCCTCAACATATTTGTACTCTCTCCTGTAAAATAAATTATTTCAAATAAATTTCAGTACTTTACAGTAATGTGAAAAAAGTAACATACCAAGATATTAGATCATAATCAGACCTGGGATAAGCATATGCAATTCTGTTGAAGCCTGAGTAGTTGTATCTACTTACTCCAACATCTGAATTTGCTCCCCAGTATCTATCAACAGGGGACCAAACACTAGAATAAACTTAAACTAAGAGAATTAGTGGGATATCTCATGTGGGACCTGTGGTACTGCGGACTGTGCCTTTAAGAGCTGAGCTTCCCAGAGTGTGGGTGGGTGCTGTGAAACTCTTGTTGTTGTTACACACAGCCAGTTAAAATTGAACAGAGCCATTTTATACTGGACTCAAATGAACAGCAACATAGAGGAAGCTGTTAAGGCTTGTTACATATGCTAAAAATACAGGCCCAGTCAAGTGAAAGAGACACTTGGCACAGAAAAAAATGGCACTTTGGAGCAAAGTAGGCATGGATTTGTTTATGTTGGCTAGAAAAAACTATGTATTTGCCCTAAGCTATTATTCTCACTTTCCTGAGATAGTCCTACTAGAAGATACTACATCTAAACAGGTGATTGTGCCTATCAAATCTGTTTTTGCTAGTATATGGTATACCTGGCATAGTAGTATCAGTCAATGGGACACAGTTTAGTGGGAATGAGTTTAAGCATTTTGTAGTGAAGTACAGGTTTAGACATATAACCACTAGTCTCCATTATCCCCAATCCAATGAGTTGGTGGGAAGCAGTACCAAAATAATAAAGCACCTACTGAAAAAAACTGTGGAGTCAGACTGAGCTGTATTTAGCACTGTTAAATTACAGAATAACATCAATCAAGCAGGGGTTGTTACCTGCTGAAATTTTGTTGGACAGAAAACAAGAACATCTGCACTGTTAGAAACTGATGTCAGTCTCTGGGGACTTGCAGCTGTATAGAGATAGATAAGGCCAAACAAAAAAAATCAATGTGATTTGAGGTCCTGGCAGCTGCCACCACTTCATGAAAATGATGATGAGTGTCTCTATGTTGGGAAACAATGGTTGCAATCAATAGTGGGGTCACAAGAGGTAGGTTGCCCTACAGTCATATGAGGTTTTCACCTTAGGTGGATACATACTATGGTGACACCTTCTCCAAATCCCAAAAAGGAGGATGATACTGGGCACTGGACCTGCCTTTTTGCCCAAAGAGTCTCAGACAGGCAACAACTACAGCAGATTGAGACAACAGAGGCCCAGGACATAAAACAACCAGAAAAAGTGAGGCAAAAGGGCAGAAAAGGGCAACAAAAATTACTAGGGGTATGGAACGGCTTCCATATGAGGAGAGATTAATAAGACTGGGACTTTTCAGTTTGGAAAAGAGACGGCTAAGGGGAGATATGATTGAGGTCTATAAAATCATGACTGGTGTAGAGAAAGTAGATAAGGAAGTGTTGTTTACTACTTCTCATAACACAAGAACTAGGGGTCACCAAATGAAATTACTAGGCAGCAGGTTTAAAACAAATAAAAGGAAGTATTTCTTCACACTGTCAACCTGTGGAACTACTTGCCAGAGGATGTTGTGAAGGCCAAGACCGTAACAGGGTTCAAAAAAGAACTGGATAAATTCATGGAGGATAGGTCCATCAACGGCTATTAGCCAGGATGGGCAGGAATGGTGTCCCTAGCCTCTGTTTGTCTGTGAATGAGTGACAGGGGATGGATCACTTGATGATTACCTGTTCTGTTCATTCCCTCTGGGGCACTGGGCACTAGCCACTGTCGGAAGACAGGATACTGGGCTAGATGGATCTTTGGTCTGACTCAGTAGGGCCATTCTTATGTTCTTAAGTGGCTTGGCCACCTCCTGACAGCAGTAGTTCTGAGGTTCCAGGGGCGCACTGAAGGTCCAAATACAGGGCACCTCAATGACTAACTGAATGTTATTAGTAAGTGTAGTTATTAGATTAGTTATAAGTATTTGTAACCGCATGTTATATTAATATTGGTTCTTTAAGTGTTATTGTTAATAAGTTTTTGCTAGGAAAGAAAGATGTGGTGGTGCAGCCTGTGCCTTTAAGGACTGAGCTTTCCAGACATAGAGTCTGGGCAAGGCACTGCCTGAAGTTCTTGTTGTTATGCACAGCCAGCTGAAATTATACACAGAATAAAGCAGAGCTTTTGCATGCTCTGTAAGCACTGAGAGACCACAGAACACCTCAGGACACAGTCCTAGTTCCATCCCCAACTCAATGGGAATTTTTCAGTTGACTTCAATGGGAGCAAGAATTGGCCGCTGGTCATTGGACTTGCTCTGCACGTACTTTATATATGTTACCATAGCTGAGACTCAGACAGGTCAGTAGGCTTTAGCAGGAGAATTAAATGGAAATCTCCCCCAAGCCACTAAAAACGTGAGCTAAGCTTTTCTCAGCTGGAAATTGCTCTACTTATTTTACAGATCCATAAGTAGTTAATGAACACACTGTTGGCAGCATTTCAGGAAAAAGTATCTGAGATTCTGCTCAGATTCCCTCTCATGGGAGAGCAGTTCTGTTCCTTCTGCAGTTTACATTCAAATCCTAACATAGTCAGACCTGCCATGCATTTTTTTGTCTTATGTATGGTTGTTGTCATTTACAAAAATCAGAAGTCGGTACACTGTGGTATATGAGATACTACAGTTATTTCGCTGTACTGAGAACAGGAAGAAAACATGGTATCCTGCCACAGTATAGTAATTGTTGATAAGCAATGACTCTTTAATGGTGACCAATATATCATAGCCTGCCCAAGACATCACAAAACCAAAAATACAAATTTATTATTTCTGAACAGCAATAATCAGCACTATAGACAAAACTCAGGGAAACTTTTCAAAGAGTAAAGCCCCATTCACGTGACTAAAACCAGCATGTAGTACCTCATCTGATGTGCAAAAGTCAGGCAATGTCTTCCCTCCTGCTCTATTCTGACAGCTACCTGCTTGACCTTCCACAGATGGGTACAGTTTTTCTTAGCTGCTGCTTTTCTCCCATCCCTGCTTTCAACTATCATTACCAGGAGCAGCCACAGACATTTTTCTGGCCAGGGAGGAAAACATTTTCGGTGCCCCCTGCCCACTTCCAATAGAAAAATAAACAAAAAAACCAAGAGCCGGACAATCAGTGGAGCGGGGAGGAAGCCAAGCAGCACAGTAGTATGTGCTTCCAGGGCCCCCCTGGAAGTTGGTGCCCAGGGCAATCATTCTACTCACCTGCCCCTGGACCTGGCCCTGCTTACTAGAGTAGCTATCACTGATCTTCCACAGCTCCTTCTTTACTGCTGGCACACTTCCTGCTTTGGTGGCTTTTGGTGGACTTTAAGTGAGATTTTTTTCCATGAGGGGCAGTATAGTTAATTCAGTAAGTCATGCATTATAGTTGCAAAATCAAATGTAAACCATTTGATTATCTATGTCTATATTATTTACTGGCTACTTGTATCTTCCTGAAACGATCCTTTTAAAAACAAAAACAATTGTTTAAAAAAAAGGCCCAAAACATCACCGTATCCATATATATTTTCAGACTTTTCCATATATTCCCACTGACTTTCATATTTTAAATATATCAGCACATTGAACACAGGCTTTGGAAAGACAGTTTAGCAA